GCAGACCAGCACAGAGAATTGAGCCTGGGTCTCATTCCACATGGCAATGCAGAGCACCTGGCACCAGAGCACTAGCTTGGCCTCCCAAGAGCGAGGTGTGAATGTTCTGAGGTCTGTGCAGTAGAAGAGAAACTCCTGTGATCTGTTTACATTGGTTCTTGTCTTAGGAGTCAATATGGGGTTTTTGGACCGTCTCTGCCAAAGACTGACTCAGACTATTGGTGAGTAGGAATTCTGCCCAGAAGCGTCCCCCATGATACAGATTTACCCCAGTTCCTCTCTGATTCCTATTGCCCTTACATAGAATCAGTCACATGACACCTCACCCCACCACTGCCCTTCTGAATTACAGGATGGACACCTTTCCAAACGGACAGGACAAATCTGGACTCCAGCCAGCCAGGCCCCACTGACTCTTCTGTCCCAGGTAGGAGTCAACAGCCTTTCGCTGTGACAAATCACCACATGTCTATTTCTGTCCCATCAGGAAGTTCCATCCCAGTGCACACGGGATCATTCAGTGCCTCAGTTTTCCTAGCTTCATAATAGGGCTAACAAGACTGACAATCTTCACTGGGGTCTGGAAGGTGTGGGTAATGTTTGTAAAGGGACTGGAAGAGGAAATGCCCGATCTCAGTGTTAAGTAACATGACACTGTCTGGGCAGTGATTGGTGGAAATCCCTCGCCAGGGGTTCCATAAGGTGCAGACAGTTCCCACACAGTTGTATGTCCCTGTCGCCCCCAGGGCATTAGTGACCATGATTGCGGGGAAATTAACCCACCGTCTGCCTGTATCCACAGACACAGAGGAGCAGAAGGCAGCCCAAAAACAAGACCCGGCGCCACAAACCCTGGCTGCAGGAGCGGGCAGCCACTGCAGCACTTTCTGTGCTGAGCCTCCTGATCCAGGTAGGCCCATGCCCAGTATTGAGTGCCAGGAATAAAGGGGGGAAAGCAGCCACAGTGACAGCCAAACCCCAGTGCTGGGAGGGCAAGAAGAGACTCCACCCAGGCTCTGTGCCCTGCTCTGCACATGCACATAAGCCACTGCCCTCTGCTCCACCTTACACGCCAGCCTCCGTGCCATCCCACGCTGGGCTAAAGCCCTGCTGCCACAGGGCAGCACTGGAATCATCACCGGGCAGCCTGGCTGCCAGTAAAGGGGGAACTGACCCACCAGGCAGCTCCCTCTACCAGCTCAGCTCCCCAGTGGCTCTTCATAAGAATATAAGAATGGCCATGCTGGGTTAGACCAATGGTCCATCTAGCCCGGTACCCTGTCTTCTGACAGTGGCCAATGCCAGGTGCTTCAGAGGAATGAACAGAACAGAGCAATTATCAAGGGATCCATCATCCCCTGTCATCCAGTTCCAACTTCTGGCCATCAGAGGTTTAGGGACACCCAGAGCATGGGATTGCATCCCTGACCATCTTGGCTAATAGCCATTAATGGACCTATCCTCCTTGAATTTATCTAGTTCTTTTTAAACCCAATTATACTTTTGGTCTTCACAACATCCCCTGGCAATGAGTTCCACAGGTTGATTGTGCATTGTGTGAAGAAATACTTCCCTTTGTTTGTTTTAAATCCACTGCCTATTAATTTCATTGGCTGACCCCTGGTTCATGTGTTCTGTCAAGGGGTAAATAACACTTCCCTAGTCATTTTATGATATTATCGGTCTTATTATCTATCCCTTTCCTAATGATTCCCAACATTCTGTTAGCTCTTTTGACTGCCGCTGCACATTGAGTGGATGTTTACGGAGAGCTATCCACAATGACTCCAAGATCTCGTTCTTGAGTGGTAACAGCTAATTTAGACCCCGTCATTTTGTATGTGGGATTATGTTTTCCAATGTGCATTGCTTTGCACTCATCGACACTGAATTTCATCCGCCATTTTGTTGCCCAGTCACCCAGTTTAGTGAGATCTCTTTGTAACTCTTTGCAGTCTACCTGGGACTTAACTATGGTGAGTAATTTTGTATCATCCACAGATTTTGCCACCTCACCATTTTACCCCTGAACAGCAAAGGCCCCAGTACAGATCTTTGGGGACCCCACTATTTACCTCATTGTGAAAACTGAAAATATATTCTTACCCTGTCTTTTAACCAGCTACAGTCCATGAGAGGACCTTCCCTCTAATCTCATGACTGCTTACTTTGCTTAAGAGCAACCTTAGTTTCCTTCTGTTCATTTTAGGCACCAAGCAAAAGGCCTATTCATCAACCAGGGGACAGCTCGCCCCAATCAGCAAGGAGGAGGAAATGCCAAGGAAGACCACAGTGAGTGAGGAGAGAGCGGGAAATCCACAGCACACTGGGGAAGTGCCCATGGCACAGATGGTACAAGGTTCCCTCCATCACCAACTCAGCCTGGACTCCCGCCCCCTACTGCCTTTCCCACGACACACTGACCCTCTAAGGCTCTGACCCCCTTTCCTCATCTCTTGCTCCCAGATTCACTGCCATTCTCTGGCCCTAGAGAACATGCTCTCACCCCCCCCTTGCCAGGGCAGGTGTTGCAGACAGGAGGAGAGAGGCGACTCCATTCCCAGCACCTGGCTCTGCTTTCTTTCTTTTTTGCTGGCTGGTCAGCAATGGGCTGCATTAGGGAACCAGGGAGAGAAATAATCCTGAGCTTCACCTCTCCCCAGAGTGTCCCGCGCACTCACCTCTCCCTGGGCTCGGGGCAGGGTTAGCTGTTAGCCCAGCCTATACCTGTGGAGAGCAAGGCTCCGGGAGGGGAAGTGGCTGGCCCAAGGCCAGAAAGCAGGAGTATACATCCCTGGTACACTCTGGAAGTGACCATTGTAGGAGGTGAGCAGGCAGAGACAATGGGCCAGATCCTTGGCCCCTGGTAAGGCCGCATGAAGGGACATTAAGCTCTCCCTTCCAAGCTCCCGCGTGGTTTCCTCAGCCCAGCACGGGGGCAGGGAGGAGCCCTTGGATGCTGTATCCCCATCCCTGACCTGTCTGCGTGGGTCTCTAGACTGTCAGCCCTTCAGGACAGACATTGTCTCTGGCTGCGTTGTGCTGCACCCAGTGCAACAGGGTCTGATCCTGACTGGAGCCTCTGGGCACTGCCATAACATCAGTAGTGATAAGTAATCAGGGCAGGCCCCGCTCTTCCAAACCGGGCCCCGCCATCCCTGCCATCCTCTCAGCACACACCACCCCAGCTGGCACCAGGTACAACTATCCTGTTGAACCAACCATAAGTGATACTAGGCTAGTGCAAACCAAGGGGTCAAATGCCCCTCCCAGAGAAGGGAGAGTCTGGCACCAGCTGGAAGCTGCTCTCCACCAGGGCCATAACTTTATTCCTTCCAAGTCTGGGTTGTGGTAACCCAGCTGCTGATGGAGACTCTACATATTGGGGCTTGTCTGCCTGACACGTCATCGCCATGTCCTGCGTCTCTTCTCTTGCACAGGGCCTTGCTTGCGTGAGGGACATGGATGAGGCTGCCCTGAGGAAGGACATTGGCACCCTCTTCCCAGCACTCCACTCCATGGTAAGAGATGCTGGGATCACTCAGGCAAAATCCCGGGGCCTGTTGGCTTAAACTGGGTAGGCTGTGGGAAGAGCTGTCCCTGCCTCATCCTGTTCCCATTGGGGGATGGATCCTGGAGAACTCTCCTTTGGTTTCTTTTCCTCCCACTCACCGCACCCCCTTTGACCGGGAACATCAGCATCCCGCACCTTGTTCCAAGGCTCCACATCTTCGGTTCCTGACCCGTCAAACTCTGCTTCTACATGAGCCACGGCCCCCGAAGCCTCGGCGTCACTCATAGACTGATCCAGCTTGCTGGCCTGTTCTTTAGATGGGAATTAGAATCTGCCTCTCCACCCTCACCCCTTCACTCTGCCATCCGAGGGCTTGGCCTGAGAGACACTTGATCTAGTTTGCCTTTGCTGGTGTTGCTTTCTTCCCTTAGGTGTGTCATCTCCCCAGAGAGCACCTGGAGGAGCGGAGAGAGGCCCTGGACTCTCTGGTCCATCTGGGTAAGAAACCCATTCACCTTTCCCAGAGAAGGAGATTTCCCAGAGCCTGCAGAATTTCAGAACCCAGGCATAGAACTATATTCCCTTCCCCTTTATGATTCACCCACCCCATTCTGATTCACTCCTCTTCCTGCAGCTCGCTTGTTCCTGGTGGAGCTGCTTGTGTTCCTGTTCAGGAGGCTGAACAAGGACGAGGAAGAGGAGACCTGTGCCAGTCTCTTCATTCTGGACCGGATAGTCCGATCCAACAGTAAGTGACCCCACAGCGAGGCCTTGTCTTTTGATGTCTTATGGCCTCTTGTGCAATTAGCAGCGCTTAGCACTGGGCCTCATTGGGGTCATTTATACCTGTCTGCAGTAGATAATCCAAGTCCTGCAGCCCCTCAGCCGATGCTGCGGCAATGAGAGAGGACAGTCACTGCTGGAACTGCAAGCGTGGGCAGATGCAGCTGGTTACCCATGGGGGTAACCTGCCAGGAGGGTCATGTAGGGACATTGAGGTTGCTCTAAGGTTCCTGAGATCTCAGGTCCCTGCACACCCCGGTTTAACATCAGCCCTGCCGAGCCGTGTGTCTGTGTCTCTTACAGTTTCCGAAATGACGCACAATACTGAGAAGCTGTTCATAGCCCTGGGGCCAATCCTGCAGAGCACAAGCATACGGGTGAGTCTGGAACCATGGCCAACGCGGCCAAAGCTAGTGAATGTCTGCCTGCCAGTGCAGAGCCTGCCGGGACCCTGTGCATTGAAACACATGACCCATCAGTGCTCCATAGTGTAGGGCAGAAGGTGGGGGAGAGAATCCCTGCAGGGCTCCGGCTGCATTGTCATCTCTGGGCTGCCTAGCAGTATTTCACCAAACCCCCCGCTGAGAAAGTATCCCAGCCTGGACTGGGAGGGGACAAGGTCCCTCCACACTGTGTGCAAATCATTTCTGTTTCTGTCTGGGTCTGGCAGGTCAGAGAAGCCCTTGCTTATTTTATAAGGACAATGGGGGCGCATGGGCTCTTGGAGAAATCTGCCTCAAGACCCTTAATTGACTTCTTGGTGCGTCAGTGCACCCTGACCCTCGACAGCACGGTAAGAATCCGCAGAGACCTTAGTGACGGGAGTCCGTGAACAGGGCAGAACATGGGGTCAAGGGATAGGGAAGGGGGGCAGCTGCAGATGGGGAGGGGCAGGCGATGGGCAGCAAATAGGACTTGGGAAGCAGATGGAACTGGGGACGGCACCCTCCGTCTACTGATGGAAGATGCTGACAAATAGAAGACAGTGTTTTTTCCTCCCAGCCCATTCTCTCTGATCCCTCTCCCAGCTGCCATCCGGGCTCTGTCCCTCGCGCAGGGAGGGCAGGACCCCTGGCTTCCTCCTTCTCTCGCCTCACTGTGATCATCCACCTTAGGAGACTAAGCCATGATGGATCTGGTTTTCACCAGGCAGAGGGGTGGAGCCTAGAACTGGCTCCACACAGACCCTGGGCTGCTTATGGCACAGTCACAGCCAGGGTTGCGCCTTTTCTCTTCAAGCCCCATTTTCACCCCCTGCCATGCCCACTAGAGTTACTGTGCCACGGAGGTCTCCACCGAATCTAAATCTCCCTGGTGTCTCCCTTACTTCTCACCATCAGGAGGAAGCAGACGGGAGGCGCACCATGGAGCTCGAGGTCCGCCAGCTCTGCTCCAGCACCCTGCAGTCCCTGGCTGACTCCCCCAGAATGGCCAATGTAAGTGACCCTGCCCCTCTCCATTGGACACAGGCCTCTCTGGGTCTGAGCTTTTCGATGAGACAGGCCCCAACCAGACTTATTTATCTGAGCCTCCCCGCTCTAGAACATCATGGGGTTGGGTAAAATGGACCCCGGATCCGAGCCAGACCTGGGTCTTTGGAACAGGGAACACTCACTGGCTGAGTGCCCCTGCACGCCAGCGTTTGGTGTCACAGGGGCTCTTCCGCTCGAGTATCCCCTGTGGTCAGTCATGCTGGTTCTGCAGCTTCCATAGCTCAGTCCCTCTTCATTGGTCCTTCTGTTAACTGTTCCCTGGCTGTTACAGGGTGGGGTCTATACAGCCCATCACATTCTTGTTTTGCAAAAGCCAACCCTAGCCCAGGAGTTCCTGCCTCTCACCCACACTACCCTGGTGCCTACGGGAGAGTCCACTGAGCTGGGGGACACTACATCCAAATCTCATCTCTGCCGACTATTGCTTAGGTTTCCACACACTGCACAGACCTGATTACTGACCCAGGCGTCAGAACGCAAGCCTAAGCAGTCAAGTATTAGCCAGCCCCCTTCCACACTGAACAAATTAACAGCGAGGTTGCGCACGGTCACTTCAGGCAGAGCTGAGACTAGAAGCCACATTTCTAATAAGGCAGACCCAAGTATTGTGCACTCAGCTACACTGTCTTTCAGATTGAGCATGCCCAATATACGTGCTTTAGTTACTACAGGTGGGGATAGACCCCCGGGGATTCCTGATCTCCACTGTTCTATACTGTCTAGCAAAGAGTTGTGTAACCCTCTGGCATAGTGTGTGTTAAGTCCCCCTCTTGTCCACACAGCAGACAGCAATTGCGTCTGTGCTTCAAGTGGCGCAGGTCTGTGTGGGGATGTGAAGGTCAGAGCTCAAACCTCCCTGAGCGCTTGTCATGGTTTCACTTGATAGTATTGGGTTTCCTAGTCTCCTCTTTATTTATCAAGCTGGTGTATTGCGTTCCTGCCGTGAGAACACAGCCTTTCCCAGTGGGACTGGAGTTAGGAAATACTGTGCTGTCAATGATGATGCTACACTCAACAAAAGGCGGGGGGTCAGTCATGTGTCACTTGATTTGGTGCTGGAGGCAGACACTGATAGGTGTGAAGGGGAGGGGGTGGGGATCGCTGCATGGTTCAGGCTGGGTAGAGAGGTCTGGCTGGCGGTGGCGAGGCCAGGGGTCCTGTCTAGTGTAGGAAAGAGAGAGCTGGTGCAGGAAGAGGATATTTCCGTACTGAGATGGCTTTTCTCTACTCTGCAGGTTTTATGGCCTGGGCTGCTCCTTCAACTGAGCCCAGCAGCCCATGGGCCAGCCCTGCCTCTCCTCCTGCAGACCTCGGTCGAGGTGGTAAAGAGGATGCAGGAGGAAGGCAGGCTGCCCTTGGCCAGGAGGTGCGGCAAGGCGAACAGAGGTGAGTCCCAGTATTTTATCCACCCGCTCTTAGTCCTTCTGTAGCGAGAGGCGTCTGCCCCCAGGTGGGGGTGGGGATCAGCTCTTGGCTCTGGTTCCGGCTCACTGCAAGGACACAGCCAGCCGTCAAGGGCACAGGTAGAGCTCAGAGACGAATGCAAAAGATCCCTCCAGAGCCTGATGGGATGTCCCCCCTTTCTGTTCACAGGGTGTCGGTCAAGCCCCAAGTCCACTCTACCCCAGGAGCTGCTGGCTCGGCTGCTGGTGAGTAACCCGCAGCCAGGAGGTTCCTTATGCTCAGTGGGAAGGGGCCGCTCCTGGAGCTGGCATGCAGTGTGTGGTGGCTCTTCTCCCCGCAACCCCCAGAGGAGCTGGCTCGTCACATTCCTCGCGTTCATTGCACATCGACCCAGCGCCTCTCGGCATTTAACAGAACCAGCGAGCTCTCTGAACCAGCCACCTTCCTGGCTCCCCGATCCTGGGGCTGGACCAGGTCCCCCAGCACCAGTCAGTGCAGCCCTCGGACGGCTCCAATAGAAGGCAGCTGGAATGAGCCCTTAGGGACTGTTGTGCAGGCCCCCTCCTGCCCCCTGGCCTCCAGCATCCTCCCTTACCAAGGGGCAGCTGGGGATTCCCTTTATGGCCCAGCTTCCTCTTTCGGGCTGCTTCAAGCTCCCCTTGTGCTGCTCTAACCTAGGCCAAGGATCTGACTCAGCAGCTGCCTGACGGCCTCTGGATAATCCTGTCTCCCTTCATCTGAGCTAGAGCCAGCCCAGGAGTGAGAGGATGGAAGGAGCCAATAGCTGGTCCATGGAGTGTCCCTGATCAACTGAAATATCCATCTCAATCCTGTCCTGGTTGTCAGCTCCACCTCCCTGCTGTCTCCTTCCCTCCATCACTGAGCTCTCCCCCTGCACCTGTAGGGAGCTCCCTTCTCACACTGCCTCGCAAGGGAGGGGTACAGCCACCTCTGCCTCTTTGTCCGCCAGGTGCTCGGTGCGTCTTCGTTTATGACGGTGCAGGTCAGAAGGGCAGCCATGTTCCTCCTCTTCCAGCTCATGAGCATGTTCCAGGCCGGGTCGGGCCGGTTCTGGAATAGCTACAAGACGGAAATGCTCCTCTATGTGGAAGGTGAGGAGGGAGTGTCTCCCCTTGCAGGAGCAAAGGGAGGGGACACTGTGATGCTGGGCTCAGAGAGGGAGAGGCCAGGGCCTCCCTCTGAATCCAGGATAATATGATGCTGTGACCTTGGAATCAGAGAGGATCATGTCAGGATCATATCCCTTGGTTCATCTAGCCCAGCCCCCCATGCCTAGACAGGAAGGATCCTTTCCAGGACCGTATCTAACCTTCATTCGACATCTCACACCCTGGGGAAGGATCTTGGCAAGCAGAACTCCTGGGTATTTCACATCAAGGGGTTTGGGTCTGAGGAGCATTGTTTTCCATCAGCAATTTTCAAAGAGCCATGGGTCCCCTCGGGGCCCGTGAGTCGGCAACTCCTCCCCACCCCCTGCCAAACAAGAGCCAAGTTGAAGGCTGCTCCTCAGTAGAAGGGTCTAAACACAAAGGAAACTGACCTGCCCATCTCTTCCAGATCACAAGACCTGCTTCTGCCAGAGGGAGTGGGAGCAGCAGCTGCTGCAGGTAAGGGTCAAAGAAATGGAGGGCTAGAAAGGAACTCAAGAGGTCATCTAGTCCAGCCCCCTCCACGCTGAGGCAGGATTAAGAGGCCCCTCAGCAGCACTACATTGTGGGACAGAGGAAGCGGCTGAGTCCAGCAGATGCAATTGGAGAAGCACCAGGGGCAGCTCACAAGGATTCAGAAGCATTAGGAGAGACGTGGGGGGTGACAGTGCACGCTCCCTCTTCCCCTTCCCTCCCAGCTGTGGTGGGTTCCTGGCTGGAGCTATTGAGAGGACCAGTTTCTTGGCCCCTCTCGGTTCTAACTGGCTCTTCTTTCCCTGGCAGTTCCTGGAAGACCTTCTCTTCTTCATCTCGGACCACACCTGGCTGGGCTGTTTCATCACTAGTATCAGGCGCCAGCTGGCCTACGGTGATAAGCGGCCCGGTGACAAGGTCAGTGTCCTGGAAGGAATTGGGGTTCAGCGCCTAGTTCAGAACAGCAGTCGCTAACCAGGGGCAGCTTGGGGTCAGTGAAGCAGACAGCTATACCCAGTGGGCTCTGTGCATGCCAGGCTGTGCCCAATGCATCCAGCATGATGGTGTCTCTTTCGCAGAGCTTTCTCTACAAGTGCTGGGGCACTGTGCTGATGTTTTTTCCAGCAGAGAGCATCAAGCCCCAGCTATGGCTTCTGGTGGAGATGGTCGATTTCCGAGAAGAAGAGGAAAGAGAGGTGAGGTCTTTGCTCCTCCACTGTCAAGTGATCCCTCATTCTTTGTCAATCCCCTGATGCTACATGTGTATGTTCTGCCTTGGACAAGGTCCAGTGGATTGAAAAGATCTTCCTTATACCCATGCCCATGGCAATGACTTGGAGAGCCCATCCTGGCCCCTTGGCTTGTTGCTCAGCATTCCCAACCTCCATCTTTCTGTCTCTCAGGGATTCGCCCGAGCGCTTGGGCTGTGTGCCAGGCAACAGCTATATGAGGTTTTCGCCATCCTGGAGCACTGGGAAGAGTTTGTCAGCAGGGTGCAGCTCCAGCCTTCTGCTGGTGGCTCTCTGGAGGTACGGTCCCACCTAGCATCTCTGCTCTTTCATCCATCCCTTCACCAGCCTTTGCAGGTAAAGGGACCTGCCAGGGAGGACCCTGCTTCCCAGAAGCCTGTTCAGCGAAGAGCTGAATTTCCAAGCAGTGGCTCAGCCTCTGAGGAGGGAGCCCTTTCCTTACTCCTCTGTGGAGTTGCAATCTCAGCACAATGGGGTGGATCCAGGGGGGAAGGTGGGTCCTGTTGTCTAAGCTCTCCAGGGTATCTCCTGGGGAGCTCAGACATGCTCCACGCAGCCCCATAAACAAGGCTCAGAGAGGGCCCAAAAGACACTGCCATGCCATCAGCTCCAGCTGACACATTTCTCAGCAGAACAGACCCTTGGTCTTCCCCTGAACTGGGCTATTCCACAGACCTTCCTGGCAGACTCACCAGGGCTGGCATGTCTGACATTAACCTGTGTCCCCCCTCTCCCCGCACCACCACCACCACCTTCCCAGTAACTCTCTGGGCCAGTGCAATCCACTGTAGTCCCAGTGACATCTCTGGAGCTAGGCTGAATTAAAGCAGCTGCTAGTGCGTCCCCTTCGGCTGCCGGGTCACCTCAACCACCCAATCCTGGGGAGCTGGGAAGGGCCTCAGAGTCCAGGCAATTCAGCTCAGCAGAGTAGCCTTTGGTGGCTAAGCCGGCTGGATGAAAAATCCTCCCCTGGCCCCAGTTGTAAGTTAGGAGCAACTGGAGGCCATCTCTTCTCCTCACTCTTTCCTTTGCAATTCTCAGGAGCCAGCTTCCATCGAGCAGCTGAGAAGCCTCCTGCTCCTCACCTATGGGCATGTGGTCCACTCACGCCCCCCGGATCTCATCCTAGAGACCATAGGCTTCAATATCCTGGCTCCCATGCGACACCACTATTTTCTGAGCCCACACGTAAGTCAGAGCCCTCCCCTGACCGCCCACACAGCACCTACCCGGGCTATGCACAGCAGCACAGAGCTATGTCTTTGCATAAACTCAGCTCAGAGGGCTGGCCCTTTGCCCCAGGAGGGACAGGAGACATGGGAACAGCACCACTCTCTGTGACTGCCCCATCTCAATTAGCTTCTCTGATTCCAGGCCCATGGAAGCTAATGGAAGGACTCCCATCTGGGCCTTGTTAGAGTGTAACTGAGCATCACTTGGTGCTATTGTCCCAGAGACGACTGTACCCTGTTTGGTACCTCTAGGCTTGTGCTGCACTCAGGGATCAGAAGATAAAGATTTAGGGCCCATTTCCCCACACACTGCAGTCGATGGTGTAGCTGGGCACAAAAGGCGCACGGAGGGATTCAGGCCCCTAGCCCGGTTGACAGGCTCTGGTGCTGAAGGGGGATTTTTGAGATAACTCTAGGTTGTTTTCTTGCCATCGGAGGTTTGAGGCCGACGTTCAGTCCTACACTGGTTACGATGCCCATATGCGCGTCCCAGCGAAAAGGAGAGGGGATGCTACTTTGGTTTAACTGAATGTTCTCCTTGGAGAACGGATGCCTTGGTAGGGAGAGCCCAGCCAACTGCAGAGAGCAGCAGATTCCTGTCCCAGATCAGACAATTACGACCTGATTGTCAGGGGAGCTGAGCAGCCCCAGGGCCCACTGACAGCTCTGGGAACTGCAAGTGCTCAGCACCTCTGGGAATCAGCCCATTCCTTGCATTCATCTCCAGAGATATTCCCCTAGGCCAGGGGTTCTCAAACTGGGGGTCGGGACCCCTCCGGGGGTCACGAGGTCATTACATGGGGTGTCGCGAGTTGTCAACCTCCACCCCAAACCCCGCTTGCCTCCAGCACTTATAATGGTGTTAAATATATTAGAGAGGGTGTTTAATTTATTAGGGGGGTCACACCCAGAGGCTTGCTGTGTGAAAGGGGTCATCAGTAAAAATAGTTGGAGACCCACAGCCCTAGGGAATGCAAAGATGTTCCACTCGGCAAACCAGGTCCTTTCCCTTAGGGCGTGAGGGCAATCCCGCCTAGGACAGCAGCTCCCTTGTAGAGACTCGCCCTGTAGCCTTGTGTCTCAGCTCTCTATTGCCTGTGGCTGTTTCCTCATTGTTCTCTCCCCCTCATGCCTGTGAGCCCAGGACCCACTGGTGAGATCTGCTTTTCTGAGAAGCCTCGCGCTGGTGGGTGAAGCTGTCACCCAAGTGAGCAGGATTCCCTTGGTGAGCCAGGACACATACACCATGCTGTCCCCCCTGCTGGTGAGTGAGCATGCTTGGGTCCTGGGAGGGGTCCCTAGGGCAGATACACATGCCACAGTCTCTGGCGTTTAAAGGCCATGTGCTGGGTTTGCGACCCGGTGCCCAGGGCTCTACATTGTGCACTGCAAACCCAGTGCTGATGCCAGATTCTTCTGGTGCGATTCCAGTCCAAGGAATTAAATGACACTATTTTCCATTAGCGGATTCATGCTGCTTACACCTGGGACCATTCCCCATCCCACTTCTGAGGGATCTGCCCGGCACCCAGAAAGCGCCCTGGGGATTAACTCCAAGGGTTTTCACTCCAGGACATGATCCTGAGGAGTTAACAGGCGCAGCCCTCCCTTGGTTTGCAGGAAAATATTTGACCTCAGCTTTTCAGGACTCTAATGCTCCACGTCACAAAATCGCCTCTGCCCAGATCCCCCTTCCCTGCTCCGTGGCAGTTGCTGAAGTTTCCAGATGTGCCGTCAGGAATGGCGAAATAGGGGCTCTGGTGAATGTCTCCTGCATTCTGGCCACATGGCCGCTCCCCGGCCATCTTCCCAGCTCCGTGCCCCAGTGCACTGCACGCTGGGGCTGAGGGTCGGTGGGGGCGTCAAACTGCGTTTGGAGATTCCACGTCTTGCTGAGGAACCGGGCTCCCCCAAATTCTTTTGCCTTTGACTCTCTGCTTTGTGCTGCAGGAGATGCTCAGAGTCAAGGACCGGGCCCGGCTGCAGAGCCCCGATCACCAGCATGCCCTGCTGGCCATCTCATACATAGGGTACGTCCATGGGGCCTGACTCAGCTGCGGAGCCCAGCAGCCGGGGAGGGGCAGATGGAGGGAGAGGAAGTGGGGGAGGGACGAGCTGCAATAAGAACCGGAGGATGTTTCTCCCTGGTGGCTCACTAACGAGCCATACCCTCCTCGGCCTCCGGGTCACTTTATCCAGCCCCCATCTCTGCGTATTGCCTGGTAAGAGGGAGCCCCTCCCGTCAGCATGAAGTGCTGTGACGGCGCAGGGTGCAGGCGCAGAGCAGGGCCCAGGATCAGCCCCGGAGAGCAGCTTCCCCAGCAGAGCCCCTGCCGGGCCCAGGGGGCATAGGCATGTCCAGACAGGACCATTCCCTAGGCGGTGGCTCTGCTGGAGATGCCCCCTGGAGCTCTGCTGCTAAGGGAGGGAGCGGTCCCTCGAGCCATCAAACTCAACCTGACTCATGCCAGGACCTGTCTCCGTTCTAATGGCCCCGCCTGCTCCGTTCCTTCCAATCAGGAAATTTGAGCCTCGCCTGTCTAAGGAACAGGAGGCTGAGACCATCAGCACTTGTATCACCAGCGCCATGATTCAGCGCCCAGCCCTGGCGAAGCTGAGAGGGACTGAGGTGGCAAAAAGCTCCGCTATCCGGGCAGAGGTTAGTGAGGCATGGACAAAGCTTCCACCTGGCTCCTTGGCTGGGAAACTCAGCCACCCCCCTGGCTGAGTAGCTGGACCCTGGCCTGATGCAGAGAGCTGCGTGTCCAGCCGAATCCAGCCCCTCGGTTTATTTTCCAAAGGGCTGGTGACAAGTGGCTACGCAGTTAACTCTGCAGTGGGGTTGGCAGGGAGAACAGCTGTAGAGGTGAGTGTCTGTGAGACTGTACAGAATTACCCTGGATTCTTGGCACAGGGAACTAGAAGCTACCCCCAGTTTACACCAGCTGAGGCTCTGGCCCAGAGCGTTAAATAGCATTTGGTGCAGAGGGAGCAAAGCATGGATTCGGGACAGCCACACGGCCAGGCCATGACTCGCCCTGCCACAGAAACAGAGATTGGCTGGAGCGGGATGAACAGCTCAGCCCTTGGGGAGCCAGTGGGGTGTTGGGGGGCAGCTGGGGCCCCTCCAGAGCGGGAGGGAGGAGGCCTTCCCTCCAGAGCCCAGTTCAGTACATGTGTTGGGGAGCCCAGGTGGGAGGAAGGATTCTTTGGGGTAGGGCAGACCGTGGTCCAGGTGAGACCCATGTCTATGTGCAGGGGGATCAGTATCACCTGGGTAAAGGGACCCCGAATACCAACAGCACCTGGCTCCAGACCGGGGGATCCACTCGTCCCCCTGCCTCGTGCACTCCACCTCCCTTGCTATTTACTTCCCTGCTTCTCTCTCTGCTCCAGTCTCTCCAAGAACTGCCCTGGGAGGGCCTGGATCTTGTGCTGCAGACATTCCTGGAGCAGCACCTGACCCCCACCACGCTACTGCATCTCTTTCTGGTATGATAGGGAGGGGGGAGGGGCCCATTCGCACTGGCCATCTGGGGATGGGCCGGCTGATCAGGTTCTACCCGAACCACAAGAGGGAAGGCTCCAGTTGATCCCGAGGGGGCTGAGCAGGCCTCCCAGCTGCTGTGAACTAGCCAGTCCCCATGGGGCATACACCCAACCCTGGGATCCAGCAAGACAATCCTAGTCCTGCTCCAGGGGTGTCACTTTGGCCTCCTATATTTGGCCTGGAGCCCCTGTTCCCCTGAAGGAAACAGCCCCGAGACCCTACAGGATCAATGGGGAGAATCCTCAAAGCGCTGAGCCCAAGACCCTCAGACCTGTGCCAACGCCCCCCAGACAGGAGAGGAGCGCTGAGTTCCAGTGTCCGGAAGTGGAGGAGAAGAGGTTAAATGCTCCATGTCCTCTCCCTGCTGGGGCGGGAAGCAGGTTCTGGAGGTCGCCCCGGCATTGCTGCCGCTCACACCACTTTCTCCCTGCTCCCCAGCACTTGCAGCCGTGGATCTGCTCTCCCCGGGCCCAGGAGAGGAGCCGAGCTGTGAGAGCCAGCGCCCGGCTCTTCATGTTCTACCGCTTCAAAGCCATCACCGAGGTGAGCAGCGCAGACCCTGCTGCCCCCTCCCAGCACTCACGGGAAGCGGGGGGGGGAAATACAGACAGAGCTGGGCTCGCCCCGACCTATGTCCTCAATTTCTGTTTGGTGGCCCATTAGGACCTGAAACCCATGGCAGAGCAGGGCTACATGGCCGGGCTGCTGACAAGCCAGGCCTTCGATGCTCAGGAGGCCACCAGATACTGGGCATCTCAGGCTCTCTACTGGCTCTTCACGCCTTGCAAAGGTAAGACAGAGCGGAAGCAGTCGCCACTTCTCAGCCTTCACAGCCCCGGCCGTTACCTAGCGAACAGGGCTGCAGAGAGAACATGGCGCCTTCATCGCAGCCCTGACCGGAGGGACACAGAGCAGAAGTGGGTTGGTACCTACCGGGCTGACCTGGCATCTGCCCTTCACCAGGTGCCTGGGACCATCTGGGACCTCCCCTGATCCCACCCCAGCCCCAACACACCTTCTACATCAGTGTGAAGGGTGGGCAGTTGGCCCAGAAGCCAGCTGAGAGCTCACCTTAGCTGGTCGTTCCCAGCTGCGGCCGGAGTCTGGCTCTTTGGCACCTCTGATCTGTCTCGAAGGGGAGGGGGAAGAATCCGGCCCCGAGAGCTCTGCCTGAGCACTGGTGGTTTCTTGTGCAGCTGTCGTGTACACCAAGACCGGGGCGGTGGTGAGCGTGCTGAGCAAGACGCAGAAGGATGCCAGCTGCAGAGAGAACCCTGTCCATGTTGCTATGGTGAGTAAAAGACTGTGGCTGGAGAGACAGACACACACATGGGAAAGGGGGGTTATTGTCTCCTTCCCTCGATGAGGAGCCGGCAGATGGAAATTCTTGGGTATGGGCTCCAGTGCCCACTCACATAGCCCTGGGCACAGGCTGCCAGTGCCTCTGTCCCCGTTCCCCGAAGAGCAAACCCACCTCCCCGGGCCGGGGCTCGCTGCTCACACTCAGCCTGTGCCTTTCCCTGCAGCTCATCGCGAAGCACCTGCAGTCGAGTGACCTCATGCCCTTCAGCTTCACCCTGCTGGTGGGCCTGCTGGAGAAGGAGGAGTGTGCAGACCAGCTGGCGGGCGTCATGGAGGCGGTGCTTGGAGAGCAAGAATCAGAGCTGCAGGGCCAAGTAATGGCTGGGCATTGGAGGCACCATGCTGACATCTCGAGCAGCTCCATCTTGCCCCGTGCCTAGAATTCCTGGGGCACGAGGGAGGATGTGGAGGGGAGACATCCCTTCTCACCATCATTGATCAATGGGACCCATCCATGCCCTGTCTGCAAGGGGGCCGCTGGGCACAGCCCTGTAATGGTTTTCAGGCTTTGATCCCAGGAGTCTGGCTTGCCCAGCTCACTCCCTGGGAAATGTGCCCTATCTCCAGACCCATCCCCCAGCTGGAGGAACAGAGCCTGCGGTGGGGTCCCCCGTGTCCACTGACTCTTTGCCCAGTGGGCATGGATTGACGTACAGGATGGAAATGCATCCCAGATGCTTAGATCCCACTCTGGTGCTGAAGCAGCCCAGGCATGTTGTCACAAGGGGAGGTACAGCCGGGATATCCGGGGGGTGGGGTGTCACTGGGCGGCGGGATTGGGACCCTTAGTTCTACGGTACTGGATCACGGGTGGGGGTTTCAAGGTACCGAACCCAGAACCCCCCTCGGCTCAGTCACTCGCTAGGAGAGTTTATCCATGGCCTCCGCCGGGCCATGTGACCGCTGCCTTGTTTCTGAGCCTGCCCAGTTCCTCCTGGCCCTTGCCTGCCACCCACCCACAGCGGGGGTAGGGTCTCAGCCCCTGCTTTGCCTCCGCAGGTGCAGGATCTCCAGGCGGCTCTTTCCTACACACTGAGCCCACCCCGGGGGGGGGCGGCTGAGTGATGGGACGAGAGACATTCTCCACCTACTGGCCAGACAACACACCAAGACCGCGGTCAGCATCCTCCTGAAGATGCCCTGGCCTTACAAACGGTGAGCGCCGGCCCCAGGGAAAGGATAGAACACCCCCCTCCGGCCTCCGAGTCCTCCCTTAATGGGGTCACTCCACAGCACCACGGTTACATGCAGCACAGCCCCTCCCCTTGCACACAGGCCCCCAGGGAACAGCCCTGCCCCGGCATGCTGTCACCATTAGCCTCCCTGTCCCTTGGAGGGCTCCGTGTGCTCTGGGACCCCCGGCTCAGGGCTCCCCCAGCTGAGCTATTCCTAACACAGCTGTCACTCCCCCACTTCGTTCTGTGCACTGCTAACCAGTCCACCCCATCCCGGTTCGGCTGTGCAATGGCTTGGCTGGCTGGAGGCCAGAACAGTCTTCCAGCCCCCCCCCCCCATCACTACACAGACCAGGAGAGACCCCATGTGAGCAGGGTCACCCCCTCTGTCAGCATGGCCCCCCGCTCCCGGCAGGGCATCCCTCCAGGCTGAGGCAGGAGAGGGGCCAACCTAACTGCATTGCCCCCACAGACGCCCCTACACTGAGCATGTCCCCGCAGGGGCACCCCCTCCCCCCAGCTGGGAAATGCCCTCTCCCCCCTGGAATCCCAGCCTGGTATCTTCCCCATCACCGCACGCTTTTAGACGTCTCATCCCACCCCTAGGGGCTGGTCTTCTCCGATTCACCAGCCTGCCAGGTTCCCCTGGGCCAGCAGCGCCTTCCCTGCATCCTGCCCAGAGCCGACAAGCACAGAGCCCATTTTACAGCCTTCTCCAAACCCCCAACCCCAGAGCCATGGCGTGGCCAGAACTGGAGCCTTGTTCCTCCTGAACCCCCCACTCTCTGCCCCATGGGGAAGGAGCTCCTGCTCTCCTTGGCCGCAGCTCACACTCTGTGCCCCCCCCGCAGTTCAGGAGATCCAGCCCAGCACCTAGCCCTAGCCCCTCCCAAGGGTGGGCACCTCCTCACACCAGCCCCCACCCCTGAGCCCAGAGTCACTGCTTTCCCCCATGGGGGCTCTAACCCCAGCCCCTCTGGTTCCCATCAGGAGAAGGCAGCAAGGGAGGGAGGGGGCCCCCGAGCTGGGAGAAGTGAGTCGGGCCACGTCCACCCATCCCTTTCTGTGACACAGCGCCCCCTGGCAGTGCCCAGGCAGGAGGGTATGAACCCCTTAGGACTGGACAGTGCCTGAAGGGCCTTGAGGTCAGCCACCAGCAGGCTCAACCTGCTGCTTCTGGCCCGTCACCCCTCGGAGGGCATCATCCCCGGTGTGTACCAACTGGGCCCGTCCTCTGTGTGAATTCCTTACCTGCCGTCCCTCTGTCCGTCACAGCCACATCAAGGCCATCTGGAGATTCCTAGGTGCAGACCCCATGCTGACCAGGGAGGTACTGCACATCCTGCTGTACGACAGCCCGGAGAAGGGCCGGGCTAACCCTGGACAGACCCAGGACAGGAGCTGCCCCCAGCCAGCCCGGCTGCCCCCGGCGGTAAGTTTCCATCGCTGGCATTTCAGCCCTCTTTCCCGGCTGCATTCTGCGCACGGCCACGGTCTTCTGACTGTATCTTTTCCCTTCCAGACCACATGCGGCCTGTGGGAGCTGATCGGGGCCTTGGGGCAAGTGGACACGCTGGAGGGACGCGAGGACGACCTGTTCGCCTCTTGCTTCCTCGCCATCGCCTGCCCCCCGGCACGGCACCTCTCGGGAGCCCAGCAGGACTTGCCCAGTGACACCAGTCCACGCAGGTAATGTGTGGGACTGATGGATCCCAGCACCCACGCAGTGTCTGGGCTAGCCCCTAGGAGGGGGAAGCTTCCTGCTTGGACCTTCGTTGTCCAGGGACCCCCGACACCTTCGGGGGACCGAGGGTTCAGATCAGCCAGGCTTCTCGTGCTTAGGAGCGGGCAGAACTGCTCCCGGATACTCAGGGAGCCGGAGAGCTCCTCAGAGTGGGTAGCTCAGCAGGGTGATGAGGGAGCTGAGCCGGGGGCGGGGGGAGGGGGAGCAGAGCTGGGGAGCAGGGCAGAGCTGGCTGCTGTCTCTATTTACTGTCTACTTTGAAGGCTTTGGGACAGGCCCGGCCTGTCACTGAGACACTTCACCCCTTTTCTACAGTGGGCCCTGGGGGGCAGGGCTCAGGGCAGCAAGGCATTCAGGGGGGCACTGCATGTACTTTTCTCCCCAGGGTCAGTTTCCTGGGCGGGGTGGGGGGGGCAATTTTCACATCTTTGGAGGAGAGCGAAGGTCACATCTGCAGACACTCCCCCCCTGCCCCCACAGTTGCGGGGGGAGAACCAAAGGCAGAAGTGGGGCAGCTTCTAGGCTCACCCTGATCCCTTCAGTGCTGCAGCAAGGGAGTCCTGCCCCCCCCCACCCCGCCCAGAGAGCAGGAATCCCCGCATCACCATCTCCTGCCTCCTTCTCTTCCCAGCATGGCCGTGCAGGCCCTGGCACGGGTGCTGCGCCTCAGGGGCAGTCAGCCAGCTGTGGAGCTAATGGACCAGGAGCGAGGCTGGCAGCTGCTGGAGGAGGCCCAGCCCGAGGGGTTCACTCTCCTTAGCAGGTGAGGACAGAGCCTGGAGGAGTCACGTTCTCGCTCTGGAGCCCAGTGGGGCAGAGATGGGAGGGGGTGGCCGGGACCGGGACGGATTCCGGCATGTGCAGGGTTGTCATGCACACGTCAACACGAACTCTTGTTCTCTCCCAGGGCCATAGTGACCCACCCAAACCTGGCCCTGAAGAGCATCCCACAGCTTCTCCTTCCCAGCCTCCAGGCCAGTCAGGAGGGCGAACGCATGGCCTGCACCGCCCTGTTCGCAGAGGTGAGCCTGGAAGACCAGGGGGGAGGGTTAGCCAAGCCCAGAAGCTGATGGAACAGGGGGCCAATAGCTGGTCAGCCAATGAGAGATGGTCCTGGTGGTGTATTGCTTGTAAATTAATCCCTCTGCTGGGGGCTCTGTGGTGGGATTTGGGAGCACCCCACTGGAAGCAGAGGGAGCGCTCTGCCCTGCACATGTCACTTCTGTTAAGCTCAGCTGAAGCCAGCCCCTCGTGAACAGCAGTCGGTACTGATCTATGTCACCTCCTGGCCCCTGATCATACTCCCTTCCCCTTGCTCCTGCCGGGCTAGGACCCACTGGCCTCGCCCAGCCCTCTCTGACAGCTCCTTTCGGTCCCTTTAGTTCCTCGGCAGCCCCCTGCTGATGGAGAATGAGCCCAAGGCGATGCAGAAGCAGGTGGTGAAGGCCATGCTGCAGCGGACAGAGGACAGCAACATCCACGTTCGAGGCAGAGCGCTGCACGGCCTCAGGAACGCAGTGACCGAGTTCCCGGACAAGGTGGGTCTGGAATGGCAGGAGACTAGGCAGAGAGGGCTGGGTAGGAAGCGCCTGGTTCCCCTTCTCCCCAGCCTGTGGCTCCTATGGAGCAGACTAGGCTGTAGGCTGACTTGCCCAGACTCTGGTTACACTCAGGCTGACAGAGCGTTGCTCACCGAGCGGCGTCCAACCCCTTCTCTGCAGGTCAGGAAAAAGCGAGACCAGATCCTGGAGAGCTTTGTCCGCGCCGTGTGCGAATGTTGCGACCCCTGCACCATTCTGGAAGCCATGGAAGGGCTCTGCTGGATGCTGCGGGACCCCAAGGCGCCTCTGAAGGCTCACGTCGCCGTCCCGCTGGCCCTGCAGGCGAGAATGTTCTTTGAGGATGTAAGTACCAAGCAGGGCAGGCCCCATGGCACTATAGGGCACCCCATAGGGGGAGATGCTCAGGACCTGCCCTCACGTGGAGGGGGCTCAGTGTCCGATGCAGGCACATTCCTGGATTTGTGGGGCAGCTCAGCTCCTCTGCTAGGGAAGGCAAGGATACAATCATTCTTGGGCCCTGGGCCCACAATTGTTCAGCAGCCCTGGGGCCCAGCAGGAAGGAGGGGAGTTTGCAGAGAATTGTCCTGTCATTTGAACTAGCTGAAACCTCTCCGGGCTCTGCAGCTGCCAGGCTGATTCCCAAAGCATGTGAGGGCCTGAGCCTGTCCCCTCTAACCACGCTGCGCCCCTGTCTGCAGGAGAACAGCGACCTGAGGCGGGCCTCCATGGAGCTCTTTGGCCACCTCAGCAAATTTGTTTCGAAGAAGTCATCCCTCTTTGGGGCTGAGGTGGAGAAGAGCATGGGGACGCTGCTCATCCACCTACAGGACGGGGACCCCCAGGTGGCCCAGGTGAGTGCAGCTGAGGGCTCATAGGGGCAGGGGTGGCTGGGGGCATTCTAACAACATGGCAAGGGTGGTGCAAACTCCCCCCTCCAAGCCCCAGATCTCCTCAGTGCTGCCCTGTGGCACCCAGGACCCCCCACTAATCCAGCCCTCCCCCACCCCACACAGAGCTCTGCCAGCCCTCAGAGTGTAGCTGTGGGGTAGATCTGTGGGGTTTCCGTCTCCTCCTCCATTCCCCACAGGCACCTCCAGCCTCCCTGCCCAGCCAGCCTCTCCGCGGCTGTGGCTCCATTTTACATCCTGCCCTGTTTAGTGGCTAGGTCCAGGTCTATCTCTGGCCCCTAGCAAGTGACCTAACCCAAGCAGGGCCACAGGGAAGGGCAGGTCGCTGAGGCTGACTGGGTCTCCATTGCTGCTGCCCTGCCCTCACTTGTGTGCTAGCTCCTGTCTGGGAATGACCAGCCTCCTGCAGAAATCCCACCACCACCTGCACCCCAGCCGAGTAGCAGCCCCCAATAGTGCCTGGGATTGAGGGGAGGCCAAGTACGTTGGTCACTGGGCAGTGCTGTTAACTGCCCACCGGGGACCCACAGGGAATGGCCCCTTCCCTGTTCCAGGAGTGTCCCTCCCCGGCCCCAGCACTCGGGCCTGGCTCCCCTCAACCCAGCCAAGATGGAGATGGGGGCTGTGGGGGCCTGGGGAACAACCGTCAGGCCAGAGGAGGTTCTGCAAAGAGGTGGCTCCTTGCTGCTCCGGCACAGTGGAGTCTCCCCAAGCCACGCAGAGCCTGCGAGTTGGCAGCCCGTTGCGCTCAGGAACTCACCCAGCTCCCTTCTCGCCCTCTCCGGCAGGCGTGCAGGGTGGCATTGCTGCACTGCGCACCCTTCCTCAGTTACCAGCCCCTGCGCACGCTCGTGCAGAGCCAGCTAGCTGAGGGGGCGGCCCCCGCCATCCCCGCCTTCCTGAACGAAGCCTGCAGGACCCTGGTGAGTGAGCTCTGGGGTGTGGGCCCTGCAGGACAGGGGGGTGGGAGGACCTAAGCACACAGGGAGCTTCCCTGCTCCAGGGAGCCCCCTCACTGACTCAGCCCCATCCCCCACCCTTGAGGATGGCTCCTGTACAAGTCATCTCTGTCCCATGGGAGGAGTCAAGGGGGAGAGGGCTCTGACAGCCAGGGGTTCTTCACCTCCCTAGCAGGCAGCTCCCCTCAGCCTGGGGAGGATGTGTGGCTTGGGACTAACTGGGTTCTTGGCTTCCCAGCTCCAGGACTGCCCAGGGAGGCTGAGCAAGAAGGCTGCCCTTAGAGCAGCAGCTGCCCAGCAGCTGATAGGTAAGAAAAGAGCTGGAGCTCTACTTCCTATTATCCCTCCCTGGCCCATGAGTCCGGGGCCCAGTGCCACATGCACACTGCCAACAGGGGGGAGGGGCTGGCCTCCTTTGTCCACACACAAACACACCCAACTCCCCCCCACCCCTTCCCATCTCCCTGGGACAAAGGGGGAAGCAAGACTCCCTGCAGCCAGATGCGGGAGGGCTCTGCGGCCAGAGGGTCTCCTCTGTCCTGGCCCTGGGCAAGCCCGGCACCTGCAGCAGGAGCAGGCCCGAGGGAGAGATCCTGCCTCCCAAAGGTCTCACCCTGGTTCCCCCCCACCCCACCCCACCCCGCACGAGGCACTGGCCCCAGCCAGGTCCCCCTGCAGCCTGTACAGGGAGGGCAGAGATTCACAGGAAGCCCCAGCCCTGCCCACCCCAGCTACCACCAGCCATGCAGGCAAAGAGCCAGGGCAGCAGCTCTGTCACACTGTGCTTCACGCCAACTCCCAGTGGGGCTTGTGTGCACAACACCTCTCCTGGCCTTTGTGGGGCACGAGGCCAAAGGCAAAATGATCCTAATAATCTTGGAGACTGACTCTCCACCCAGCTCCTTCCCCTCCACTGCCCGGATGGATTGGGGGTGGGGGGCACCTTGAAAGACAGAAATACAAGCGGTGGCTGGTGCCCTGCATGCTGTTAAATAACCAGGCCCGCCTGCCTCCCCTAGGATACATGATGGGCAATTGAAGCCAGAGAAGAGCAGGAGGCTTGGACCACCCACCCTGCTGTGAGTCACGGCTGAGGGGTATTGCTGTGCTGGGAGGAGGGGCGGGGGGAAATCGGGGCAGAGTTCTAGGGGCAGGGGGCAGCAGCCACATCGCACGGTGGCTGGGAGCCAGAACCCAGTTGGAGTGACCTGCAGAGCATAGGAGCAGGGAGAAAACCCTCGGGGCTGGTTCTGGGGTATCTTCTCCCCGGCTATAGTTTGAAACTCCCTGCCCTGTGGGGTGTTCCCATCCTGGCCCAGGCAGGAGCCATGGCTGGTCAGCAGGATCTGGGAGTCAGAAGTGAGTCGTTCCTGGCAGGCAGGGGGCAGTGGCAAGCAGAGAGGGGGTGGACTCCACAAGAGGGAGGGAAACCACCTCCTGTGGGAGACCCGGCTGCTGGAGGAGACTTTTCCCCCTAATCTCTCACCAGCTGCGGTGCCGCGGGCAGGAACTCTGAGCAGCCCCAGCCAAGGGCGAGGCCGGGGGTTGCTCCGAACTGTGCAGAACCCAGCCTGGATTGCTGCCCGCCCCCTGCAAGTGGCAGCTCCAAGAGCCCCTGAACGCACGGAGCAGCTGACCCCACCCCAACCCCCCATCCCGCCCCAGCTATGCTTATGGGGATACGAAATTCTAGCTCTGAGCCTCCCTGTCTTCAACAGCTGATCATGCCCCAAAGGGCTGCACCAGAGCTGAGGAAACAGAGCCAGGTGCTGAGGAAACACATCCCAGGGCTGGAGTGTGCAGTCCAACTCCTCCCCCGCATCACGGGCATTAGTTCTGTCAGAGGCTGACCCTGCCAGCTGCTCACTAGGCAGAACCCAGCCAGGTGCTGAGCAGGCTAGCCTAGGCCTGGTGCTTAAATACCTGGAGAGGCTGCAGTCAGCCCAAGAAGGGTGGGCAGGGGGTGGCGTAGAGTCGCAGGCTGAACTGCAGGCCGCAAGCAGACCCAGCGTCACTTCTCACAGCCCCAATCCACACAGCAAGAGTGGAATAAGGCTGCTGCAGCCAGAATTTCCTTCACTCCGGCTGCAGGGCCTGGGCTCGCCCAACATGTGACCCTGGCTGTCAGAAAACTCCCTTTAAAAAGCGACTCTCCTGCCCCTCCCCCTCGGAGGACAAACTGCGGGGGGCCAGCTCTTGCTTAGGGAGAGGGAGTTTGAGCTCTTTACATTGGCTTTGTAGTGAAGCGAGCTCCTAACCAGCAAGGCCACTAATAATAGCAAGAGTCAAGAGTTTATTTGAGCTGAACAAGTTCTTTAAAAGATGCAGGATGGGGAGTAAACAGAAGCCTAAATTACAGCAGGTAGCATGTAAGCGGGAAAGTAGAAGTGCTAAGATGGCTTGTGAAGAGCAAATAACTGAAGGGCTATAGACAAACCCTAAAAAAAACACTTTAAGGAGATCAGAAGCCTGTGAAAGAAGGTTTCTGGGCAGTGCAGCCTTATTCCGCCCTCCAGGGGTAGGACACTTGACCACGCCATGCTAGTAGCAAGTAATCTAGTATCATTGCATGACAAAGCCTGGCAGCGTATGGTCCCAGTGTTTGCTGGCATTCAAGCAAAATCCGTTCTTTATCTCGCTGTGTAATCCTCAGGAGAGTGATATCGCTCATGGTAACCTGGTTGAAATACAGGAATTTAATTAAGGGGACAGAGGTGGCCATTCCTACTGGGCTGTTTGCCTGTGGCTGAAAAGAAGTCCTTCCCTGCAGTTAGCCAAGTGTGGTTTGGGGGGAGGGGGGCTGGAATTGGCGCTGAGCTTTTCGCCTTTGGCTAGCAGGGATCTTCCCTGATACCAGCCACACGGTGGGGGGAGGGATAAAGCGATCATCCCAGAGAATTGGATGGGGGGCGGGGGTTAGTTTTTCTGCTGCTGAAGGTTAACAGGAAAACCGCAGCAGTCAACGGGGTTTGCTTGGTATGTGGGAAAGGAGGGCGCAGAAGCCGAAAGACAATGGCTTACCATGGCCGCATGCAAGCCGAATTCTGTTGCCCGGACCTGCGTCTGTGATCTCTAACACCAAAGCCACAGGCACTCAATATTAAGATGGAAAATGCGACCTTGTACTGAAATCACATGTGCTATGTAATGTGAATAGTGTTGTTCACCGTGAAAGAGTATAAGCATTGTTCTGTAAAATGTATCTTTTTAAAAACGTATAGATTCTAGGACTGGAAGGGACCTCGAGAGGTCATCGAGTCCAGTCCCCTGCCCGCATGGCAGGACCAGATACTGTCTAGACCATCCCTGATAGACATTTATCTAACCTACTCTTAAATATCTCCAGAGATGGAGATTCCACAACCTCCCTAGGCAATTTATTCCAGTGTTTATTCTTTCCTTTTTTCCCTCCCTCCAGCAGCTGCAAATTTTTCAAGCCTCCCTCCTCCGTCCCAAAGGCTATCTCAGATAAGGCGGCGAAGAAAGAGGATGCGAGATGAGATGTTCTCGGAAATAATGGAATGCACCTGCAATGAAAGAGCTCATTTGAATGAGTGGAAGGACACGGTATCTAAGTACAGGAAAGATGCCAGTGAACGTGAGGTCATGAGGGACGCTTGAGATGAGAGGTGGCAGGCTGCAATGCTGGGGCTGCTGCATGATCAAACGGACATGCTTCGGCATCTGGTGGAGCTTCAGGAACGGCAGCAGGATAACAGAGTGCCGCTGCAGCCGCTGTATAACCTCCCTCCCCCCTCACCATGTTCCA